ACGTTAGCCATCTTACCAGCAACTTTCAACTTTCAGAAAGTGACCATCACTAATTCTTATTAAATATGATACTGTACGTAATCGGCACACAGCTATTGTTACTACTTAAAACATACAGTAATAAACTTATATAAATTATCCATGTAAAAGCCATAAAATGTTATGAAGAACATTACAAATCTTCTAATTTTCAACTAATTTTATCAAAACCGACGTAATAGATGGATTAATATTTGTGCTACCAGTGTTAATTTATTTATTAGGAAAGATAAATTGACCAAATTTATACATCTTCATTTAATTCGCGAGACGCGAGAGAGGAGAAATTCAGGACTCCTGTATAATTAATTACGCTCTCGGTCTGGTATCGAAAGGGTTGAGGAACCGGTGGTATAAAGATCGTACGGATGATGGTAGGACAACGCATCGACCGAAACTCGTCAAAGATTCTCGAGACTTGAAAATTGATGGGGTGCCGTTTCCTGGACAGGACTACCCACTTTACGCCCGACAGGTCAACTGGGTAGATAATGGGATCGATCCCTCCCTCCTGAAGGAGAGAGTGGTGAAGTTGTCAAGGAAAAGGGATGGTACTTCAGCTCCGGCTCATGTCAATGGCGCATCGCACGCTCTTTGATCTCACCGATAAACCGGCGAAAGATTTTCGTGTTGTTGTCCACGGTATCTGATCGTGAACCAAAGTATCCACACTGTTCTTCAAAATGACAAAAGAATTAATGATTTCCGTAATTCGCAGCTTAGTACATCTATTAAAAAATTGTCACTCTCTTAGAACATTTTTATCTTCATTTTTCTTTTATCTTCATTTTTTCATCTTCATTCTTTTATCTTCATTCTTCTAAATAAGGATCAAGACAATTCGTTTTTTTGCTACGATTTACTATTTCGTTCGCTATTTATCAATCGGCAAGTACACAGATTGTCAAATTACCACGTAACTATTATCTGAATTAAAGTACCTTTTTCTTCCTTGACCTATATAATGTATGTGAGACAAAAAAAGGATTTTGATACATCACATATGTAATCATATTCGCGCATCAATCAGTATAAATATATGTTTCCTTTAACGCCCTTTTTATCGTCGTTGCCTATATAAAGTCGACGATTTCGGAAATCAAGAAAGAAAGGGAGAGAGAGAGATAGAGGAAGACGAAGAAGACACGAAAGAGTGTCATCCTCTTTCTCTCTCCCACTATTCCCTTTCTCCGTCTCTCTTGGACCACTTTAAACGTCTTTATGAGTCCCGGCTGTTAACACGACCGTCGGAGCAGGTACGGCCTTTTTTTCAGTGCCTGTGTGATTTCCTCGTATCTGCGGGATCTCTCAGGTGGCTAAGCGTTCATGGGAGACTGATGGAGCTATGATCGGCCGGTTTAGTGTGGCCGAAGAGGCACGCCGCCGCCGTTCGTAAACCGTTGCACCACAACGGAGATTTGTGTTTCGGTTCGCCTCGGCGATTTCTCTCGGCGTGAGAAGTCACTCCGGGGATAATTGCAAGCGTGGATTAAGTCGTCTTCCTCCCTCGGTGAATCCTCTTTAGAGCGTTTCATCAATAAACCTCCACGGGATTTCAGCTCCGGGAAGTCAATTTTGTTTCCTCTTCATGGACTTAAACATTATCCTCGCGAAGGATAGTTTATAGCAATCTGCAGTATAGCTCCAAGCGGATCATGCGAATAAAATCGAAACGTACTTCCTCTCCGGAGCTTGCGTCTGCTCGAAATTCTGGTCTTTATCCGTCAAAGGTTTGCGTCATTTTGAAATCGTCAATAATACCGCTATGCGACACAATCGAGTTAAATAAATAAGCTCCAGCATCGGGCACGCGCAACCGCGGCGTCCAGAAATAATTAAGCGCTATCGATGCACAATAACATCGCGATAATTAAATAAATAATTAAAGATCGGTGGCCTGCATTAATTACGGCGAATAATTAATCCGCGGCGACGCGGATGAATTGTTCGTTATTTAATGCGATTAGGTAAACGAGTGAGGAGAGGAAGACGAGAGATCGGAGCTGGAAGACGACAGACGTATATAATTAAACGTTACTCTCGCGCACACTGGGAGCGAATCGTAAAACTCTATTGCTGCATGGTGATGGAATAAATAATTAAGTGCTAGGAACGCGCGCGCAGTAGTTAACGATCACCTCGCGGACGCGGTGTTCGCGCCCTTACGTACGTTACAGAATCATTTCCAAGTTGAGGGGGGAAAGGGGGGCAAAGGGGGAGAGGGAGGGGGCGAGACTGACAGGCAGCGATGGTTAAGGAGGGTTTAAAGGGGGTTCCGGGACAATGCGAATCTGTAATTATAAGCGCGCCGGTGCTTTCGCTCCTTTTTTTCATGTAAAATCTCTTGCAGCCCCGTATTATCGCCTTAAATCAACAAAGCCGCTCCTCCGGTTCGAAGGTGGTTCGGCGAAGGCACGGCGTGGAAAGGCACGAAGGAACGGCGAGAGGGAACGGAAGATTTGAGGTCGTGAGGAGAGCAGGGAGAGGGAGAGGACGACCTGCAGCTCCTACGGGCAGGGCAACCGAAGAGAGGGACTTTAATAACAGGTCTCGCTTAATAACCCACGTCCCGCACACGGGCCCCAAACTGAATGTCATTGCAGTAGATTCGATCACGTGACTCGGCACTGTTCGTACGGCAGGAAGGCGTTAGCCGATCGACGCGGTGGACTCCCGCGAGATATAGCGCGGAACCGGGAGATCTTCGACGACGATATATTCGATCGAGCGATTTGGTGATATGAGTTCACTCGTCGTCGGTCGAAGCATTGATAATTCATACAGATTTCTGTATATATGCGAAAAGATTGTATACTCTATATACTGTGAGAACATCTCACGTAATTAAGAAATTATTAAGAAACTTTCTTAATTAAAACAAACTTTGTTTTTTATTTCACGAGCAAACGTGGTCAATAATAAGTAAACAGCTAGACTTTTTAAAAAATTATTACTAAGTTTTATTTAATACGAATAGTTATTTTTAATTTGATTTTAATTTAAATTTCTTGCAAGACAGCAAAGCTCGATACAAATATAGCATAATAAAAAAATATAAACATAAATAATAAGAAAGACATTAAATAATTTTTTGGTATATTTCATATTTTCGTATCGTATTGGTATATTTTTATATTATTAGTGTCTCAAATTTATAAAAAAATATACTCATTATTATCAGTTGTTGTGTTGCAATATTGACAGAGTAAGAAAAAGTTTTATTTTTTATCAACTTTTAATTGCGGATGTATTTTTCAAATTATTGATTTAGTTAATATCATATATTTTCAACAAAATCGTGTTTTCTACCAGTTTCTTTCTAGTAGCGTCATCTAAATTTAAATATCGTGAACTTAGTTAATAGTTTCCAATGTCGATAATTTACCAAATATTGGATAGATAAAAAAAGTCAAATACTATTTGCACCTTTCGCAATAAATTCTGCAATATGTACAAACCTTGCAATTAATTAGTTCGAGCTATATAAAACTAATTTGTAATATTGTAAAGATTCATCATAATCTGTGGCAAAATTTCTTAATTATTAAGCGAGTCCGAATCAGGCACTAAAACATATTCCAAGAATTTTGACATAATCGATCATCGGTATTAATGTTCAGTGCATTTATGTATGATATATGTATATTTTAATATAAAACTTCTATTCTCATTCTATTCTCACAATATATTTATACGTTTAAATCTAGAAAATAAATTATAGTTCACGCTGTGTGCAATTTTATTGCTGCACATTATTATCAAAGTTTTAAATATTATATTGATAATCGAGAAATACCACAGACATATATGTCTGTGGGAAAAACCTATTTCAATATATGAGCAAAATTAAGATAAATAATTGAACACTCACCGATGCGATGCGTAATGGCGGAATAATTGTGTAGTACGCAACATTGGTCTGTAAAAAATATAAACTATAAATAATATATACATATACATATACATATATATCATAAAATACAAACAAAATATATATCCATATCATATTAAACTAATACCCAAAATATAAATAATATTTCAAAGGATAACGTTAACAATTAATCCTGCAAGTAACAAATAATAATTTAATAATAAACCACTAACCCATAATTGCTCCGCAGTCGCGCCCGATGCCTCCCCAGATCTTTTTCCTCTTCACCAATCTGCACAATTCGCCGAATTGACGAAAAAGTAACCGCAAGGTCCAGTTTACACACTCATCGCGATGCACTTCAAACGAGTTCAAATTTGCGCAAAACGCACATATTATTGACACACATAAACAATTGCAGATACGTTGTACGCGCGGGATGACGCGGATCGTCAATACCCTGCTCCTAAAGGCCCAGGCACATAGAAAAACTTAAGCAGTAAGGAAATCAACAGTTTGGATTCGTTATACGTTGTCTATAAAGTTCTTGACTGTGATTGGCCGCTTTGCTTGCCTGCATGGCATGAATTTATGCGCGTATCGAAGCGCGTATATACCGTATAGATGTATTTTCCAATAAGCACCTAAATTCATATGTTAGAATGCATGATGAAACTACGATTATTAATTGGAGATTAAAATTCAAAAATTTGAATTTGAATTGCATAATTTGTCAACTCTAATTTTTTTTATATATGTTAAACAATAAAAAATTAATAATTCCAAAATTAAAACAAAACAGTATACATTCGCTCTTTAATTGTAAATAAACTTTTTTCACTTTTTTCATGTCTTTTCCTCATTTTTTCTTCAATGCACTTAATTTGGACCGATCGCATATATTTTATAATGTGTCCATTTCTTTTACCAATGTAGATTAATTTTAATCTCGGTTTAATTTTCTATGTAATTTTCAGAGAAATGGACGTGCAGAAATAAGTTCAAGTAGTATATAGCTATACACTATACACGTGTAATCTATACATACACATTAGTACATTATATACGTATGTATATATATATATCCGCACACATAACTGCGGAGTTCGGAGTTTGTGGTCCATGCTGAATTTCGTCCCAGCTCCCACGTATATGAGAAGTTCTCATATACATAAATTAGCTAAGAATCACAGCGACATTAATTGAAAGACGCAGAAATGTTGATGCGGGCGTCCACAATCGTTCGCCGGCAAGCGCTACTAAAATCAAACGTGATTTCGCAGGTAAAGCACATTTAGCGGCTTTTTAGAGGTTAGGTTATTACCTGGTGACGAAAAATATAAGACAAGTCCATGCCCTAGAAAAAGAAAGACAAGTCACCAATGGGTGTCCAAATGATACAAATCCTGAAAAAAAAATGCGCGTGCATATTAACATTTGTACTAAGTCCATTCATTTTATTTTATTGACATCCAAATATAGTATTATAGGGTTTACAAAACATTTTTACATTTCTGTTTCTTTCTTCATAATTCTTTATTTTTTCTGTATAAGAGTTTTATTTGGAAGATATAGCTGCTTATTTTTCAAAATACCTTTTTACTCAAGGAAGCATATCTTCTTTTTTTAGGAAATTGTTGCATATAGACATATTCATGTAGTCGCTCAAGGAAAAAAGACTCTTAGAAGCAATATTTTACTGGATCTACAGAGGAATTACAGAATTACAGGGATCTCTTCGATCCGTTATGCTAGTACAGACGAAACACCACTGCAAAGCAGCCTACATGCTAGCACAGACACAACACCACCGCAAAGCAGTCCACATGCTAGCACAGATGAAACGCCACTGCAAAGCAGTCCATATGCTAGCACAAATGAAACGCCACTGCCAAGCAGTCCATATGATGAAATACCAGGTTTATATAGAAACATTTTCTAAAACTAATATTTCTTAGATTTTTGATGGATACGTTACTGTAACAAATATCGAGAAAAAGGTATCTAGTTGCTGTAATAAATAAATTACTACTTAGAATTATTAATTATATATTAATTGGCATATCTAAGTAAACATACTTGCTTTCATTCTTAAAATTTTATATTATTGTAATTACAATATGAAAAACGAAAATTAAAACTATAAAAATTATTTCACGTTGTTAATCTGTAATCTGTTTATGTATGTAGATCCACCCACACCTATACAGGAATTGATGGAAAATATTGTTAAATTGCATCCGAATGGAGAACCAACGTTTCAGAGTCTAGGACTAGGTGGTTGGACTCCATCAGGGCTTGTACAGCAATTCTTGGAGTTTATGCACATAAGTTTAGATATGCCTTGGTGGTTGACGATTGTCACAGGTACTCTTTCCTTTATCGCAAGATTTAGTATTGTTTCAATAAAAGTTCTAGTATGGTTATTAGCACAAATCCAATCCCTTTGCTTCAGCTACTGTTTGTGCAAGGGTTCTCATATTTCCCCTGGTGATAAGGGCGCAAAGGAATATGATTCAACTTACAAATCACATGCCAGTAGTACAAGACATGCATATGAAATTGACGGAAGCCAGAAAATCCGGGGACCATATGGAAAGTATGTTAGAAGGGTTTGCCATCGACGAAAACTGCGTTCGTCAAACTCGCTATAATTAATAGAAAGTATAATAATCCGTTCTGTTCCAAACAGGTGCACGGATTGCGACAGAAATGATGCATTACATGAAGAAGAACAACGTTAGTCTTGCAAGGAACATTATGGCGCCGTTAATCCAAGTGTGTAATCCCACGCTTTCATAGACGCGCATAAAAGGACGACGTAAAATAATTTCCTAATTATAATCCCAATGTTTTAGGCGCCAGTGTTCATCTCCTTCTTTTTTGCGCTGAAAAAGATGGCAAATTTGCCTGTGGAGAGCTTGAAAGATGGCGGCTTTTTGTGGCTAAAGGATCTCACGGTATATGATCCTTATTACATAATGCCGATAGTTACCAGCCTGACAATGTTTATCACGATCGAGCTCGGCTCGGATGGCGCTAACATACACGCGATGGGCATGTTCCGATATGTCTTGCGAGCTGTGCCATTCGTTGCGTTGCCTTTCATGATATACTTTCCTGGTGTAAGTATAATATCGATATTGCTTTTATGAGAAGAATGAATGTGACGACACTTATATATCATAGAATATTTAAGTTAAACAATAACTATTTATATATATATATATATATATATATATATATATATATATATAATTTCATTTTAAATACATGCTTTTCTTTTTTTTAAATTTCTTTATCGCATTTCTCCACATTTATAGACTGTTGTAACATATTGGGTGACAGCGAATCTTGTATCTCTGTTACAAACTGGTGTTCTAAAGATCCCACGTGTAAGAAAAGCTCTCAATATACCTGTTCTAATAAAGAGCAATGCTACAGCAGCCAAGAGCAAAAAAGGTTTCGTCCAAGAAGTCAAAGAATGTAAGTAATGCCTTTATACATCTATGTATATATGTGTGTATATGTACATACATATATATAATACAGTATTATATAGTGTTGTATCAAGATATATCACATGTGTTGGAGAATCAATGTTTTGCGAAAATCTGTTAATATATAACGCATACACTAATAATTTAATTGCACAAATGCAAATATAAAAAAAATATTACATATCCATTTTACAAAAGTATAATACAAATATCTGAATTAATTTTGTTTCAGCTTGGACAAACATGAAGATAACGAAGCAATTATCTGATAGAGAACGAGCAGATACAGTACAGTTTAATAGCGCTGGTAAGGGTCCTGTAATAAAAACATTTAAATATGATCCGACGAAGCAAAAGCAATCGGCAACGGTCCTTACAAAAAGTAGAAACTAATTGAATTTATGGTTAAAATGTATATTTGGTTACACAACGTGCAACACAATAAACTAATTTGTAATTATAACTGTAATAAAGTAAATCTTATTTAATATAAAAGTCTATTTTTAATAATATAAATTGCTAAACATAATGAATCTTCTATATTTTCCCTAATAAAAAAATGTTATACATCGTATAAAAATACTATATAATCAATAGATAAAAAATTCACAGTTGGATAAATAAAAGACAAAAAATTTATACATATAAAACTCCAATATTTTCGTAAAAGTTTATTTTTGTTTAGAAATATTTTCTCTTATTCTAAAGAATGTATTAAATGTATAAGGAAGGTTCTGGAAGTTCTATTTTCGTCTCTTATCACTTATATACTTTCACTGAAACGGCTGTTCCTCTTCTGGACTGAGTGATCTTTCGACACTCTGCTGTGTAGCAAAGACACTTTGTGTTTTTGTCGTAAGATTTGCTTGCTAAAAAAAAATGAAGTTTTTAATGTACTAGAGATCACAGACGCGCGCTACGCGCACGCTATTTAACTTTATTTCACTGTTACTATTATAGAAGAGGATTTTATCAAGTATCTCTATAATTCTTTAAAACCAAAATATGTGCATGATTCTAATGAATAAATTTAAGAGATTATACCTGCGTCACTGGTGTATTAGTGTGGCTACTGGCGGGCATACACACTACGACTAATTTCGGTGTAGAACTCTGTACATGTGTCTTCTGTTGGGCGACATTAGTTTGCGTCAATTTAATTTGTTGCTGTTGCTGTTGTTGCTGCTGCTGCTGCTGCTGCTGTGGTTGCTGCGGTTGCTGTGGTTGTTGTGTTTGGGTCGGTGTCTGCTGTTGCTGCTGAATTGCATTGGTATTGATAGTGGTATTTATATTGGAGATAGTAGGTGTTTGTGAGCGCGATTGCAAAATAACAAATTTCTGTCCACTGGTGGCGGAAGTTCCGGTAGCAGTTCTGCTTGCGCCAAGCATAAATGTGCGACCGGGTTGCTGACCTGGACTCGAACTGGTTACTATAACATAACATGCAATTATTCATAACACATATCACATATGTATTATGAATAATACACATATCACATATGTATCACATGTCACATGCATCATCAATGACGATTCACTCACCTGTCTGCACGAGTGTTTTTCCTGTGCAATTAGAACCTTGTTGCTGATTCGTGGTGAGTGCTGTAGTTGTAGCTGTGGTTGTTAGAGCAGCCGGTTGTGTGCGAGCTTTTACGACTGCCATGCACAATGCGTGTCCTATATATCCATAATCCTGTTTGTACTCCTCCGTATAGTCTGGTGGCGATCGTATCGTTTTCAAGACTGGAGCAACTGATTTCTAGATACATTTTTCACAAATCTTTAGTATGCATAATTAAGAGAAACAGCATTGAATATAAATTAATATTATTAAAAGATATTAGATACACTAATCTTCCACGGAAATAGAAGAGCTACATATATATTAAAACGATTTGATTCTTATACAGGAAGATATAAAAAATAATAAATTAACTTTTTAAAAACTCGTAGAGAATTTTTTCTGAAATTAAAAGAATGTATACTCTTAGCTATATACGAAAACGGTCGACTCAGCGATTCCGAATTCGATTTCAATTCTCATTCCACACGTATATACCACAATTTTATATCAGGTTGATTAAAGAGTTGAAGTTATGCAGATTAAAAAGTACAAGATGAATAATAATCCGGTTCGAGAACATATCCGTATTTCATTATACACGTCAAATAACTTTTAAAATTAGTTTTACCACAATTAGAGTTTTGATATGTCCTGCTCCATTTTTATCCACACTGGATAGCCCTTGACCCTCGATGTACGGTTCGATACGCTCAGATATAGATTTAATTTTAGGGATAACCAGAGCTTTGATCACTTCTGGTCCTAATTCACAGAGCCCTTCGATCGCCCCATATAAAGATGCCAATGGTGTCTACAAGAAATAAGAATGTTGTACAATAGGTACTTTAGTATTTGAGTTAGAGATTGATCTGATAGCAAAATTAATCTGTGCTATTCTGAAATTATTTCTTCTCGTATTTTGGTACTTTTCCATATTATTCATGTAGTTGTTACCTGATTATTCTTCGCCAATGCTTGACTAAACATACGGGTGACTCGAGTTTGCACATTATTCGTGGAGGTGTTAAAATTTTTACATATTTGTGCCATCAGTCGGGAAGCAAAATCGCGTAATGCCCAATGATTGTCCACCTCCGGTCTCATGCACAATTGTCGAGAAACTATACAGGTCGCAACTGACGGTATCAATTCGTGGAGCTAAGCATTGAAATATTTTATTACATCAAAATGAAAATAACATCAAATTTATCAATACATTAAAAAAATTGATCTTACATATTTCTCCAAGTAAAGGCTCGGGTTATCGAGTAGGGCTTTAACCATCCGCATGAGGTAAATGAGCAGCGCGAGGTGATTCTGTACTACGTTGACCCGCACACCTTCGGCGATAAAGGTGCACATACGCGCCAACATCTCGTGTAGACCTGGATCCGCCGAGAGCGACTGAAGAGCCTCGGCTCTACGAGCTTCGTCGGACCCAACGCATGCCTCGGTTATCTCTTTGTAATATAATTGCTGTTCCACACTGAGCTCGTGTGTCGCGAGCTGTTTTACATGAACGGTCTCAACATTCCGTAGCTTCTGACTTTTGCCACCGCCGCCTGGTTTACCAACGCCGATGTTCTGATTCTTGCTGGAGAGCTTAGTCGTCGGATCAACACTCTCTAGTTTCTGGGCATCTATTAAAAATTAACAGTGATTGAAAATTAAGAGTACTTGCAAAATGTTTCCGAATTCTTTGAAATATTTTCTTAAACTTTTCTTTAATATTAGAAATTACAAAGGAAAACTTCACATATAATTGCATCCCATAGGAATCCCAAGGAATCAGATAAAAACCTTTTGATACTGGCGGTGGATTTTCCGGTATGGTAGGTTGTACTCCATCAATACACAACCAATGGGCTCGTAATGTAATTTCCAGAGGTAGCTTCGGCCACGACTGTCCGCCAGCCGTAGCTACAACCTCATTAAGATCGATTTCTTTCTCCTCGACAAAGTGCAATTCCCTACCACCACCTGATGCAAAGCGGAATGGTATGTAATCCTTGGCGAAAAATCCATACGTCGGCTCAATGTTCTTAATCTTCAGCGCATGATCTATGTCATGTGCAGTCATTCGTTGACGTTTTCCATGTCTCATGAATTTTGCAGCATCCTGTAAGAAACATATTATTATAACCATTTCATAACAATATACATAATTTATAACATACTATTATAACATATTTTTTATACAGTCAATAATAAAATAAAAAAGGATACATGCAATATTACATATATTTTGGTATTTTACATGTTGTCACATAAAATAATCCATGAAAAATAAAGTACTAGAGAAATTTTCTTTGATAAATTTGAAATTAATCTTCCTACAATAAAAACTCAACATACAATAGAATTTATTTACTAACCTGAATAATTTCTTTTAGCCTGTAACTGACATCCTCTGCAAGATCCTTTGCAGCATCATCTGGAAAGTTGCCAACGCCAATACTCTCCGCTATCACTTTGATAGACTCTTGAGACAAGGTTGTCCCGTACATAGATTCATTTTCGCTCATCTTGAAATTATTTTGTGAATATCAGTAGATAAAGCTTGATTTCACAAATAAGCTTACTGCTTAACTTTCACAGCTTCCTACAAATAAATACAACGCAATATTATATCACTGCAATACATTAATATTTACCGCTAAGAAAATATTGACGCAATAATAACATAAACATAAATAATATCTGCCTGTTTAGATATCAATAAATAAGATACAAAATTCTTGGTATACTTTGTTTATGAATAAATGTTACGGACAATGTACATGTTACCTTAAAAAGATACAAATTATTTATTAAACAGTACTGTAAATTAAAAATGCTATTTTTCAAACACGATTAAGAACACAAGTCACAATGATGCAAAGATTACCTCACATCTGCAAATGCCCTTTGAAACAAAATACAGCAAATCTTTGATGATTAAAATTACAGGAACAGTATTATTTTCAATTTGTTTCTCTGACATAGTAAACACTTTTTTTACAATTATTATGAGGTTATATCAGGTTACATTGCACCGCATCACCAATTCCGACTAAAAAATCGCGTCATAACTATACTCACAGCGTCACAGCCAGCGAGTCACAAAGCCGCTATGACAATGGGTCTGTTCGCGTTGCTTGCACTTTTTGCACTCAGCATCTTCGCTTTCTCTCTCTCCAACGGCCCGAATATATATTTATCTCATTTCAAGTGCAAAAATGTTTGGGGATTTCAAGCAATGCGAACAAGCCTATTACACACGTTGCAAGCTGTACGTTGAGCGTACTGATTGGTCGATTAGATAAGAATCCCCAGTATTACCAATAGCAAAATGTATCTCCCACAAAAGTCTCTAGAAAACCTAGTCTCTTATTGGACGCCGGAATTCCGAAAATTGCTTTGGCTGCATTCCGATATATATTCACTGTCAGTATTGCAAATCTATATTTTACGTCACGTATACTATAGATTTTCAATATTGACAGTACTAAATGTTGTTGCTGGCAGACACGTCGATTTCAAAGAAAGCTAAAAATGTGAGGAAAAATAGTAAAATTTGACTGAATATTTTCTTATATTGGATAATTATTTTTATTAAGCTATTTTAATTAGCTATAATAGCAGAATTATATAATTTATAAAATGTCATAATGCAGCCACGCGATAAGGTAAATCAAGTTAATTTTTTTATGGTTTGGATTCAAAGAGCGAAATAAAATGCAATTGTGCAATGTTCTTATTATATGTACATACAAGCAAGACCCAAAAAAATCACATAAAAAATCATTTTGTTGCAATATCTCATAATATTTATGTAAAAAGAATGATGAACAAGCTGAAAAAGCTGAAAGAGGAGCACTACCGCCTTTTAAATATATCCCATTCCGTTCATCTATATCTGAAGCTAAAGATGCGGAAACAGCGGTATCGTTGTTACAATCTGAAGACAAATCTACTTTATTGGCAGCCGTAGAGGCTCTGTCAAAGTACGCTGGTAAATCGAAAGACAATGTAAAAACACTTCTTCATCTCGGAGTCGTAAATAACGTTCTTCCTATTATCGAGCATGAAGATATATTTATTCAAAGGTTTGTTCAGCAATTAAAGCCAAGGTAAATGTTCCTATTTGTGACCATGTAAGATTCTCACATAAGTTAATAAAAGATCAATTAGACAGTTAGGCAGAGGAAAGTACTCTCTAGAGTGATTCAAACCGAGAAAAAATTATACCAAACTCAAAATTAATCATTTTTGTGTAAAAACTTGTTTTACTCGAGTTTTAAAAGAGAAATTGCAGACTATGTAAATGCTACGCATTAGTGACCACCTAATTTAATTTTGGCCCCATTATTAGTGATCGGTGCATCAGATCAAATGTATCATTTAAAGTGACCGACAGATTAATTTTCGATCTTGATGAAGTAAAGTTAATTTGGCTTTTCTCGCTACTTAGATAATGAAATTGGGAAAGAATGCAATATCAATAATGAAAAGAGTTGTTAAGCTATACTTTCACATAAATAATTTATTTGTAGTACTCAAATAAAAAATAAAAAAATATCTTACATTCGTAGTAATCTTAAGTAGAGTAGGTACCCGAGGTAATCTTTTATTTCTTGGAAAACAATTAAAGTATTATGCACATTATTTCCTATGTCCATTTCTCCTGCTCGATTTATAATTTTTTTAAATGGTTTTTTCAGCTTGTTGCATCGCTTCTTGTATTTTCCTTTCCTCTGCTTCTTGTTTTTTCTCCTCAGCCGTTTCTTGACGTTTTTTTCCTCTCTTCGACCGCAATTTGACATTAGCTCTTCTCCATTTCTTTCACTCAGTGATATTCTTCACAAGCCACTGAAGGTACTTCAACTTTTGGAGCAAAAATATGGGGCCAAAATGTAGTCTTTTTGTAAACATCTGGAATAACAGAAGGAACGTTCAAGTAATGTGAGAGATAATAGAGATTAGACAATTCATATTCAACTTTTTAATGAAATATCACTCAACATGTATGTAATTGTACCTTGTACCTACCATTGTCATTGACGATAGCAGACACTGAAACTAGTTGCATATCTCCAGTGGTATTAGCATTGGATGCTCTGAAAAAGTAGAACAATTTTATTTTATTGATTGAGTGTAACAACTAAAAATAATAGTGCTGAAAAGTTTATAAAATTTACTCATTCATTGTCATATCCTCATCAGTGTTGAGTTGTGAGGGTTCTGCAGGGATTATTTCGTCTTTCACCACGATCTGCGCAAAATCATTTGGTTTGATATCAATCGAGTTATCTGCAAACTGAAGGCTGGGGTACTTTTGAGAGAGTGATTCGTCCGTCAAGTTATTCTCAGGATTCTTTAGCGGCAAAACGTTTTCCTCTCCTTCTATGCCTTGATACACTGAATTACCTAGTTGTCGATAAAATGCAACATCAAAACTAGAATTTGAGGCACAAGTTACATGACTAATATTGGGGTTAAGACTCTGATTTGAGTTACTCATGACAAGAATGATTTAATCGCTAGAATTAGAATCTTTGGCATTTGGAACACTGGAATTACCTCTTTGAAAACCAATTTAAAATACGAATAAAAAAATTAATTTATTTCAAAATCAAATCAGACAGACAACACGCGATTGAGTCAATTTTCACCCCATCGAATCAAGTCATTATGGTGGATTCATAACTGCCTAATTGATTCTTTTTTAAGGCTTGATTTAATTAAGTCTTGAAAAAAGAAGAAGCTGACCAGTCAAATTCAATTAGATTGGATGAACATTGACCAATAATTCATTTGTGTCATCAATGACAATTTTATTTCAAATTCATGAATAATCATAATCATCCCTGGAAGTGTGTGTATATATGGAAGGGTAAAAACCAGAGTAGTGTAAGTCAAATTTTTTTAAATATGCCTCGTGTGCATAGATGCAATCTGTTCAATACATATATAAATTTGTATCTATGCACACGAGAAAATATTTTAAAAAATTTGACTTACACCACTCTGGTTTTTACCCCTCTATATACATATATATATATATATATATTTTTTTTTTTTCAAATTTTTTTTATTTTCTTATCTTTATTTACCTGATAATTTCAAAATCTTCTGCCAGTAAAAAAAAAGGCCAAGGTTTTTAACGTTGCCGCTATAGGTTCCAGTTTCATTAGCACGTCTAAATTCGCCCAATAAATTTTCATCGATGGTACTCTCAAAAAACAATAAATGATTTTCCGCTGTCACTGGAGTCATAGTTTTTTTTTTCGTTTTTTGCGGCAGTTGATTGTATTGGAGTGCATCGGCTGAAAAAGGAAAAAGGCCACATTTCCTGAAACCATCGCTCATCACCTTTGGAAGTTTTACGCGTTCAATAGCGATTTTGAGGAGCGGGCCAAAATCTTCTCTTCGTAATTTTCTGTGGTTTTGCACTCGCCAGTCATTTATGCAGTCTCTCCAGCTCGATTCAAGCGACGTCCTAAACAGAGCAACGTCAAGCGGCTGAATCAGATGTGTTGCGTTCGGTAACAATGCTCTAAGCTCTATTTGATGATTCATACAAAACTCGACAACCGGTAACGTCATGTGTGAAGAATGTCCATCGACATACAGAATAACCGGTCTCTCGATGTTCTGTGCTGTCAACCACGGCTCAAAGATGTTGCTTATATATTTATAGAAAGTTTCGGCTGTCATCCATCCGTTTTCCGACTTTCCAATACCCCAATCAGTTGGTACACTTTGCGATACGCTGTAAGGAATTCTTTCATACGGAAAAACTATCATTGGGGAAATCAATGCGTCCGTAGCGTTCGTCATGAATAGCACCGTCAAGAATTCCTTCTCACGATTTTGCGTTAAGTTATGAACTGCCTTATCTCTTTTTTTGACTAGATTAACATGGTTATTTTTCGGAGAAAGACAGAAAGCGTACTCATCGCAATTAAATACCCGGGATCCATCGATGTTTATTAGCTGCTTCTCAACTAAATGCTGCTTGACTTCTTTGAACCAACCGTGCAGAATATCTTCTGTCAGTTCTGTCACTGACGCTCGACTTTTAGGTAAGGTTTGAGGTGCACTAATAGAAATCTCTGGATGCCGACGTAAAAACCCTTCGTACCAATGACGCCCTGGTCGTCCATCAGTAAACGGTGTTTCTCGATCCAATTGTTTGATTAAATAAGTAACGCTATGAATCAGTTGAGTTTTTGTGACTGGGAAGCCTCGTTGACTGAGATAAAGCATCCAGCGCGCTATTTTTGCCTCTTCCTCAGTAGATAATATAGTTGGAGGACCTGGTTTCCGTCCAATTGGCCGATTTCCTTTCACTTTTGACATTAGAGTTGATTTAGGAATACCACTCGATTTGCTAGTACTATTTATTGACTGTCCAGAACGAATATCAGCGAGTGCTTTCATGAGTTCTTCGTCTGACCATTTTTTTCTGAGTTTGCCCATTATGCTGAATTGAAACTTCAATCTACAAATCAGAATTCAAAATCTCGTGAATATAAGTATCTATTAAAATTCGGAAATAGGAAAAAACATTCTCGTTATAATTTCCACGCAAAATAATAAAAAATGTTTTCAAAACAGACTTTTCGTGTACTTATAGTGATCTCGTTTTTGCTCTATAATTGGATTATTACATTAGTTGTTTTCTAATTAGGGATGAATGGTCAAGTGACCTCGTTAGAATAAAATATTTTATTGTATTTGATAAATAAAGAAATCACTCAATAATTGAATAAGTATGTAAGTAATTTGAAGCCGTGGCCACAAATCGATACAAACCACGATGTCCCAGTTAGGGTTAGTGCGTTTCACTTATTAACGCCCGCAACGTTCGCATCATTTGTCCTTATTTGACATTTGACAAACAACAAGGATAAAATGATTCTAAGGCCGGTAGGGACCGTATTCTCGAGCCTGCCCTAATGATTTTCGTATGCGACATTTTATTTGAAAAGCATTGAATTTCGCATGCGAGTTACATGAAAGCGATTCGATAATAGGGCTCCAGATCTTATATATAAGATCTGACTATGAATACCGGCCTTAGAATCATTTCATCCTTGTTGTCAAATGTTAAATAAGGATGATGCTCACGAGTGTTGCGGGAGTTTGCGGGCGTTAAGTGGAACGCACGTTTAGTGACTCGACCTAACCTCAAATGATAGCGTGGTCGCAATAGTTTTCCCTCGAGAATACATCGAATATTTTTCCGTTTACTCGTAAAAATACAACTCACACCCGTCTAGAAGCGTATGGAGATGAGTATTAATTATAATTTTTTTTTCTAAAGCAGTGAAATTTACTGTTATGACTAATTTTCTTGAGCCAGTCACAAATGGAAACATGCGTGTTTTGTTGTACCATTTTGTAACGTTCGCTTATATATTTAAAACTAGCAACCTTTTTCAGAATCCGCGAATAGCACAACGCTCCTTAATTGTTCACTGATAGTCTTGCGCAAAATTGTTCTCCAACACTTGTTTTTGACAACGTAACAAAACTGTGACTGTGCTGTGATAAACTACTAACGTGACGGTAAACAATAAACATGCGCTCGATGGCTCGATCTGCCACCAGAGAGAAGGACGAGATTAGTCATGCCCGCTTTTTAGCTGTTACCGAATCCTGTAGGTAATGTGTACGATTTTGTGGTTCTCTTCCGTGCTATGTCCACGAGATTTTTCAATTCTCTTCCCATTTGGAAAAAAAAAAAAAAAAATTGTGAACCTAACGGAAGAGAACCAAAAAATCGTGCACATTACCTATACAGGATTTGGTAACAGCCAAAACGCGCGGGCATGACCACTCTCATCCTCCTCTCTGCTGCCGCTGATGGTGCACGCCGATGGAACACGAGCCCCTTATTTCACATTTTTATAAGTATATAATGCAACCCCCCCTCCCCAAAAAAATGTTGAAATAAAAAGTTGAAATTCTTATAAGAATTTAAGATTTATATAGTGATCTTGGTTATATGAAACAATCTATATCGTCTTATAAGAATTCCAATTTTTTATTTCAACATTTTTTTTTTATTACACTATATAATATGACTTCATTCAAGCAAGTTTTTTTCAAGCAAGTATTTATATATATATTTTTTTCAAGTAAGTTAATTTAACGCAATATAATCTCATTTCAAAATTTCCACGTTAAAACTAAAGATATTTTCAAATTAATTAAGATTTACATTCTTTTTTCTGTGTAGTCAAATATCACTGAAACCATATATCAAACCGTGGCTTATAGATAATCGCAAAACATGATAAATATATCCTTTTCGAAGATCAATTACTTAGTTAAAACTTCTGACTAGTTTAATAAAAGTCCGCGAGTGCTCACAAAGGGTCATGCTCACAAATATAGGGACATTTACCTTATAACATAAAAATTAATACTAAAACTAATACTCAATACTTAATACTCAAACTCTAATATTAAGTTTATATAGTTAATATTAAACTTATACATATAATACCTGTTAAAATGACTTTCTTTTCGAGCGATAATATATAAATAGAATCGTATATATTCAACACCCCAAAAACTATGGAAAACCATTAACTTCTTTCTTATTTATTTATTTTTTTTTAGTATAATTATAGAGTTAATGTAAAACTATAAAAGCTTAACATAGTTAAGCGTAACAAAGCTAATTTAACTTTCTCAAATATATCTGATGTAACTAATATTCATGCATACTGCAATACAGATTTGCTGGGAAACTATTGACAGAATTGATGGCAGTGCCAGACATGACGAGTTATTTGATCGAATTCGATTGTATAGGGTATTTTGCAAAGCTATTAATGAGCGAGAAAGATACCTTCATGCAAGAATATCTTTCTGCGATGCTCGCGAAGCTATCCGAAGATCCATATGGGAATGCTCTTCTAGCAAACTATTGCTCGAACGTGAAGTTTCTTTTTGAGGGATTACAATCGCCGGATCCAGATGTAAAGAAGCATAATCTCGAGATTCTACATAATTTAATGCAGGATCCCGTAGCTGCGCGTAAAATTTCGAAAAGCGAGGTTTGTTGTATTTACAATAATGCTGTACGAAAAGTTTTGAGATCGCTCAATTCACAATTTTCATTGTCTTTAGAAATTTAGTTTTCCTTTGTTGTATCAACACTTCGAGTCACCGTATCCAGAGATTCAACATCTTGCGTTAGACGTAGTTGCCGATATGATCGGTAGAAATAAAGATGAAGATATACAATCTTTATTTTACGAAACAAACGGAGTTGAAGCGCTACTAGATTTTTTTAAAGTAAAAGATATTTTGTACGGAACAACTATAATAATATACATTTTAACCTTATTCAACTTTAATTATTAATACTAACAATTGTTATCTAGAATGATGAGTGGAATGATTTGCACATTAAAGCTTTAGAAATATTATGTTTTGCTGCCGAGAATCCAGTTATCGTGGATGAACTTATTGACAGCGAAAGTATCTTACAAATATTAAATTACATAAAACATTCAGAAAATCCAAGAGTTTTTGCAAAAGCGCTCCAAGTCGCTGTACATATCGCAAATACCTCCAAAGGAAGAAAAGTAATTTTGTAAAATGAAAAACATGTGCACATAGAAGACAATGCATTTCTTTGAAAATTAATAAAATATTACATTAAACTGATATTGTACTCGATTTATAATTACTGTTTTAAAATAGGTTTTACATTCCTACAAGATTGTTGAATGTTTAATAGACGCTTTACAACAATCAATGCAATCTGACATTGCGGAAGTTACTTGTTATGGAATTGCGGAAATGGTGCTACTTAATCCCGCTGCAAGAGAACTCGCGAGCACGGAGGCTGTCAAAACTATTTTAGGTTACATAAATAAATAACATAAATAAGGATTTTTTACACGTAAAGAAAAAAGTTGGAAAAAATGATATAATACTATTTCAGGCTTATTGAGAAAAGAGGACTTGCAGTGGTCCGCAAGACACGCCGCAAGTTTCGCGATCAAACGGTTATTGATGAGCGATATTAAAAATTGCAGTGTCTTTTTAAGTATTAATGGGCCAGTAATTATATTTTGTAAATTTGTTCTCTTTAAATATTTATTTAGAGTAGCTTCTAAATTGAGTAGAGTGGAGATATTTTATGCAAAATATCTTCAGAATACGCGCAAATTTTCAACTATCTGGGGTAACATATGTGCGTTAAATTTAGTAAATGTATAAATAATAATGTCGTTCTTTAAGGATTATCTGTGGCAATTGTTAAAATTCTCGATAGAACAAGTTCCTGTAGAAACTTGTATTGTTGCTCTTGAAGCTCTGCTTGCTATAGCACGTCTTCTAACTCTCAGAGATACCTTGATTAATTTTGACACTATTGATACAATTTGTTCTCTTTTAGAGGTAAAAAATAAATATCATCTTATTTTCTTGTGATATTTTTTAAACACATTGAATTGCCGCGCTGATTTCGACTTATCGTTTAAAAGCTCAATTAAAGATTATATTTTTGACAATACTCTGATGAAACAAATTATTGTTATGTATTTTCGAACTTTTTAAAAACTTTTCATATTTTTGAAGAAATTTGAAAACAATATTAGACTTACAATTAGTCATATGTTTTAATTTGTTTGTCATATGTTTTAATCATTTGTTTAAATATCTTTTAGTGTATAATAAACGCGAATTTTGAGACAAATATGTAACATGTACATACATGTAACTGTTCAAATGCAATTGGTTACAATTATATGTATGTCATTGTTACAGCATCGATCATTGATGATAACATTCAATCATAACATTCAAGGTGTTTACAGAAAAATATCAAATTTCAAAATCCATATACAGTTATACAGTATTAAGAAGTATTGATCTTTTAGTCAACCTATCCGTTTATCGACGAATTTAAAATCGCTTGCTGCAATCTACTTTCGGCACTATGCTTAGAGCAGAATGGAAGATATTATTTTCTTAAAGCAAATGGACCCCAAAGAATGTTCGCTCTCATTACTGACGCCCATTCAATTTCAGTAAGAAACGCTGCGCTACAGGTCGTACAAGCAATTTCTGCAGATTTAACAGTAGCGAAGTCCTTCGTAGAAAATAAGTATCTTTCACAGTAAGTTCGACGCTTTCTCTTGCAGTTTTATAACGTTGTTGGGGAAAAGATATCTTTCTTTCATGAGAAATAATGTTAAACTTCGAAATATACCGATTGAAAATTATTATATTGAGTTCTCGTAGCGATCATGTAATTCATATTCTGCAGCATGTTGAATAATCGTTTATTCTCAAGAGTGATTCCTTTATGGGACACTTGCATCGAGATTCTTCTTAAATCGCATTTACCGGTCAAATTTGCTCTCACGGGACGTTTGTCTCTACACGATCTTACTCAGGATGGATTTTATGTCTCAAGAACCAACGTATGCCCGTACATATATTTTTCACTTTTTAATAATAAAAGTTGTATGATCAATCCAATTTAATCGAAATTGACACATTACCGTTTGTATTGTTTCCATAACTATCTGTTCTAGATTTCCCATATTGGATGACGTCTTCCGATTTAAATTTTGTCCCTTAGAGCCCATTTATGTAGTAAACTACGAACGATTACCAAGGTCGAGCACTTTACAAAACGAGACTTTTGAAAGTAATAAGACTTTATGTTTTGTACGAGTAATGTAGAAAGCTAGTAAAAAAAGGGATTATCTTAAAAAAGAAATGTCTTTGTTTGCAGAAGACATTAATGCGTGGGTTGACTCAAAATTCGGTCGGTTGCAATGTGATCCACATTTTGTCGAATACGTAGAACTCTTTAAAAGTATTCTTTTAGCAACGGAACCAAAAGATGTGTTAGTAGAATTTTCAAAAATCTTATTTGAAATGACAATTTGTATATCTCATTTACTATTTCTACGTAACAAGCAATCTTTTATGCAGATCAAAAGAGAGAAAAACAGATGTTGGATCGATGAATATCCAGTATGTTTCTTCGCGCGCAAAGATGTTAGCTCGGTTCGTGGCGCGTCAAATGTCCGGTGTCGATTCAACGGCAACTGGATGTATCGACCGGCAGCTTGAGGTTCATTTGAAGCAGATCAAAGAATGCTTGGAAACGAGCGTGATTCCGCTCGGGCAACTTCGCGTAGGCTCTTATCTCGAGCGAGCTTTGCTCTTCAAAGCGATAGCCGATAGGATATGCCTTCCAGCAGCTCTCGTACGCGGAGAGTATGGTGTCTCGTGGATCGAGATAGCCATACCCCAAGTAATATGTGTATCACTTGCGTTAAAGTTGCTTCTTTTAATAGATTACATATTAATAATTCAATGCGTGTCTTGCAGATGGAAGATTCAATAAATAAAGGAGGATTATTTGAGGAAAAAATATCTCTCTCAAAAGATTGTCGATCGATAATCTACCCAATCAAGCTTATGAGACCGAATTTCATTGTTGATTTGATGAATACACCGGGAGACTTGATCCCGATTGGAAGTCCTCGCTCAAAGTTATATTGTGTTAAAGAAATGAGTTACAATAAAATGTGTTGCTTTTAAAAACTGGTTTACTATTATAAGTCTTGTAACAATATTTCAATAAAATAATATTTTAATTTTAATAAATCTGTTAAAAATATATTATTTTATAATAAAATAAATGATATATTTAAAAGCAGTTTATTGTTATAAGTCTTATAGAATATTTTAATAAGAAAGTTACAGAAAGGTTCTGGATTTGATTGGTATAATTTACGAAAATTTTGTTTTTATATGTACATATATAAAGCAGAGAATATATTTTTTATTTTCTCTTATATATAAATATTTTATACCTATAGTGTCTGTCGTATATACGTATATAATACTTTATAATACCTTTAATATTAATTAAACATATTCGTGGCAATTCGTAGCAAGTATAATTAACGTAATAGTAAAATATAAAAAAATCCTACAGTAAAGATCATGCAGCCTACAAAACAAATTTATACTAACAATAAGAAACAGTATGACCCGCAAGTGTATTATATTACATTAGATGTATTATATTACAAATTGTGTGAATTCACAGATAACTTTTAAAGATAGAGGAAATCAATGACTACAAATCGCATATCACTTTTTTAGCGCTGATAATTCTACAGCGTTTAAAATTACTGGCGTGTCGGTGGATGTCTCTGTTGCTGTCTGGGTTCACCAATTTTTACTAAGCCGAAGAAACTTTTATCATGCTGGAAAAGAGTGTATCTCGCTGATCCGATATCTTTCAGGATTAAGTGATCGCCTGCCTGAAGAACGGTCACTTGGGCTGAGAAACACGAGCGGCTCTTGTGTCCCATACCCGGGCTGTACACCTGAAAATTGTATTTGTTATTTTGTATTTCTGTACATCTTGTTAAGTGTACAGCATTCGATATATGTTTATGCCAATTTTTATCGCATTACAACTACACTGTTATTTTTAATCTTGTAGGACGCCACTGCTCCTACACAATATGTTAATTTAACTAAAACAATGTTAATTTAACTAAATCAATGGAGTAAAAATAATAAATTTCGACACACATGGTAGATAAAAATAACAAAATGTTATTTAACTCAAGGTACTGGATTAAATTTCGTTCTTTAATATTTAACAGTGCAACAAGTACCTTTCTCAGCGTTACATTTTCATCCTTACCATGCACTGCAGAATAGGCTTGCCGTTCACCAGCATGTGGAAGCCGTTCTCGTCGTGCTCGTCCAGATAGTGGATCTGCGCGTACACCAGATACAATCCCGGCTCGTGCACGGTGAGCTTGCCGTCGCCGGCGAGCGTGAAGTGCCTGCTCATGCCGAGATCGGCGACCCACTCGCTCGGCTGCCATGCCCTGAAGATGCCGTTGTAGTGCCGCGCCCTGCCGTTGCCGGTGTGCTCGTCCTGCGTCGAGAAGAGGCTGCTGTCCGCCCCGTAGTGGATCGCGTAAACCTGCCGTGGTGCACGCAAATGTCTTCGAGTCAATCTCCGGCGATATTCCCGTGCAGCCACTTCGTGGTTCTAATTCAATCACAACGCTCTGTGTTGTTCACTCGACCACCGTGAAGAATTTCATGCTCGGCTCTTATCTACCGTGTGCGACGCGACCCCCTGGCAATTACTACCCACCTGAACGGGCCGGCGAATCTCGGTTCTGTTGCCCGAGACGTCGCGACTTCGCCAGCTGATTCTTCTGTTGTCTGCAATTTCCGTGCTATCGCTCCCATAACTGTCAGGCTGAGTGGTCTCCTCGTTTCGGTCACGGCGCGCCGAGGGAATCGTCTCCAGAGCGTGATACTTTTTCGGGGGATGTCTGTCGCAGAAAACGGTCGACTTAACACAGGATAAATAAAGAACTCCGCGTAATTCTTACAAAAAAATGGCTTTTGGCAAAATTGGCTGTAGCTTCGCTATTTTATTGTGATGTTGATCAAAAGTTAATGTCACTCATTTTCCATAAGAATTGTGGAGTCCTTTGATTAAAAATGTCAAATTTTACATCGGTCTCTCTATCTATTTCTTGAAGGTTCAATTGGTCTAATTTAATCTTGACGATTGTCATACACTTCTAAGAATTCAGCTTATTAAAGCCAGTCAGCTTAATAAGGTTGAAAGAAATTTGTTAAGAGATTTCTCGAATTTTCAACATTCTCGTTAAAATTTTGTCACGCTCAGCCGACATTTGAACGAAAAATTGCTCACGTTTTATCTGCTCATGTAAATACCTCGATTAACACGATTAATTGGTTCCGTGTTATTGAAAACCGTACAATATATTCAAGACTCCAGATCCATATAAAATTGGGCAATATAATCCCTAATAATATAAATTTGGTTTTAGGGAATTATTCAAAAAAACTTTTAAAAAGTAAGATTTGTTTACCGTATTATTCGAGGGTCCCCAGCAAGCATCGAATAACATGCAAGTTAGAATTTTCTACTCAACAAATAACACATGTGTTATATTGCATTTACAGTATTGAGTAGGAAATTCTAATTTGCACACAAGTTGCATTTTACTTGGTGTTTGCTGGGTGACCTTTACTTACGGTGATTCCGTCCCAGGATTGTCGTTCACGTCGCTCTCGCCGCTCGCATAAGAACGCGTTCTGGATACAACGATTCTTCCGTTATTACGTCGCCTTTCGTTCGTTGCGTCTCTCATGGGGTTGTCAGTCAAACCATCATTCACGGATCGCTTCGATTTGACACTCTCTTTGACGTATCCCAAACTCGTGGCCTCCCTGACGACGACATCGGATTTGTGACTGGTGCTGTTTGCGTCGCTCGTCTTCTCTTCGTGACTCGATTGCCTTTTGTGTTCTCCCTTAGGACGCTCCCGCTCGATACTTCTGCGTGCAATAAACGTAATTAAACGCGATTGGTTAATATCGGACTTGTAGAAAAGTCTTAGATCCAATAACTACAAATCTACCCTTTTTTCTTCTTCGTTCAATCAACCTGTTTTATTACAAAATGCTACTATACATTGCCAATATCTCACTTGTGATTCTCTCGTACGTTCCTCTCGAAGTGCTTCGCTTCGACCTTGCGCAAGGCTGCCAGCAGCTTGACCATGTCCTCATTGGCGCCGGGGTCCGGGGACGTGGGTATCGGTATCGACGTGGTCGTAACGTCGAGGAAATCCGACGACCTGGCGCCGTAAGTCAACGGAGTGTGGTAGTCGCCGGAATAGTCGTGCGATGCGGAACCATCATCGTCGTAATTAGAGTCGTAATCGGCGTTATCAATGTCCGCCTCGCCTGGATCATTATCCTCGGTAGACTCTTCGGCGTATAGCTGCAACGCGTTGTATATTCGCATGTAAAAATGTTTCCCGAGGTTCTCAGGGTCTGTGTGTAACAAAAATTTTCCGTCGCGAGCGATGTAATTATGATCACGTAGTTAAATCGGTATTGTCCATTAGTGACAAACGTCCGATACGAGGAAATGCATCAATAATAAGCAATTGTGGTATGGTTTCCTTTTGGAAGACAATTAAATTAATTGCTGCGTCTAAAAGGGGCATGAACAATGCTTTGTGTGTCTGTGTAATGGGGAATCCCGATAAAGATAGAAATTTTGTTATTGACTGAAGCAACTTCAACTGCGCAAATTTTCCTATATCTAATATATAATATATACATATAATAATTTAATTATGTATTTGTGTATACAGTCAAAGAGTCTCGTGAATCAATCAAACTTTTATTATCGGTGCAATAAGTGGAATCGAATATTGAGTTATTACTAAATAATAAATAATTAAGAAATTTTCATACTTTTTTATTCTTATTTCAGTTATTTATTTTGGTTTCTCTTTTAAGAGTTTTTCATAATTTAAATTTATAAAGATTCTTTAAATATCTTAAACTTTTCTACACATTTTATAAGTTTTCTTCGGAAATTATAGAATATAAGAAATCTCAGAATATATTTCAGAATTTACAACTATAAAAGATTCTGGAAAAGATGACTTTTTCAATATTTCTGAAAAATATTTCAATTCATATAGAGAGCCTTACTCCAATACTAATTAAATATTAACGCGATATTTCTGCGATCAGTAAGCACACAACCTCGATTTCTTTTCTTTCCTGTTTTACAATTTGAAAGAATTGTCCAATAAACCCGTTATGCGCTTTCCCCTTTGGTCATATATTTAAGATTTCAATGCATTTCTTCAGTATCGGCCAGCAAGTGATGTTTCGAGAGAAACTTGTTTCACTATATATCTGTTTCTCTTCACAATTAGTAAAAAAAAATCTAACTTTAGATCTGTTATTAAAATCAAAATAATTCGAGGCGCTTTGCATTTATATTTTATTCGAAATGCGAAAGCCACCAATCTTATAGAAAATCGCTAATCCAACTCTGTTTATTTTTCTTTAATTAAAAAAAAAAAGGTTATTATATAGGAAGGATGGATCGAAGTAAAGGACGGAGAGATAAGTCACGTCTATCTTATATATATATACGTAAGGATTCACATATAAAATGGAGAGTTCAATGGCTCGTTCATTACTTAAATTTTCTCGTGCCGGCGCACGTCGCGACGATCATTGGCTAAATTCGCGAATAGGACAAAAAGAAACGTAATTTGCTCTTTCTTCTCCCGAATGACGAGAGAGGAAGGATTCAGCGGTCAAGCGAGCCAACTCGCTTCACTTGCCGAAGGTACTTACCTGTTCCTCGAAGGCCTTCAACTCGTTCATGAGATCCTGCTCCAGAAACCGATGCTTCAGGATATCGACGTCTCTTCTCAGCTGCTCGATTTTGCGCGTGTTCGACAACAGTTTCCAGCTCTGAAGGCCGAGGCAGAGAACGACGGCCAGAAGGGCGGCCACGCTCAGGATCGTGGTCCTGCTCGGTCTCAGGAGCCGCGATCGGTTGAAGCCCTGCTCGAGGTCGGAGTGCGAGATGCTCAGGTTCTCCCGCGAGAAGTTGAGGAAAGACCTCGTCTCCTCCTTCGCAGGCGCGTCCCTCATCAGCTTTTGCTTCATCCTCGCCGTGTTGCTCTCCTCCCCGGACAGCATGGACGTCATCGCGGAAGTCGAACGATTCTCTCGGCGCGAGAATTATTACTCTTTATGAAAATTCGACGAGAGTACGATTTATATGTTCATATGCATCTTTGTGATTTGGCGGAACGAGACGTGTGGAGAGTACAATTCATCTCGCGTCAGTTTTACGACACGTCAGGAAACCATCCTCTTCGTAAGAGGTACATGTCGAATTCTTTTGCTCTCTAGTTCATCGATGCTTCCACTCTATAGAGAATTCATCTTCTTTTACTAAAGACTATAGCAATCTAAAGATTACATTACACACTGTTAAATTCGTATAATTTGTGTCAAAGTATACTCAATGTGAATCATTTTTAACCATTCCTATAATCACTGCTCTTACTCAAAATATCGTTAATTTAACTATATAAAACAATTGAGTTACATGTCACACGTTCATGTATTTAAATTCGGATAATGCTTATCTGTTTTATATTTATTTAAATTTATATATTGCAAATTTATATATATGTGTTCTAAAAAGTATTGCGTCTACAGTCTCAAAGAGAGCGTATGCCTGATTTAACTAAACGATATTCTAATAATCGGAGTTTTATTACGGTCAATTGGACAAGATCTTGTCTTGTTATCGGTGTGATACGGCACGTTTGTATGAATAAACACTTTAATCATCGCAGAGGATGCTATTTCAGCCAATTGGACTCAGATAGGAAATAATAGCGCCGAGATGTGACTTGTGTCTTTTGTTTTGTGCTCCGAGTGACCGCGCTTATTCTGCGTTGCGATGTGACGTAACGCGTAAAAGGGTAAAGATTCTGTCTGAATCGATCGGTTACACCCGTGGGAAAAAAAGTACCGAAAGAAAACCGTGAGAAGCCTTTCCGCATTCGCGGAATAGACGCGATTCACCTAATTGTACATTTTCGAAGATTTACGATGTACGGAGACGTTAAATATCCCACACCGGTCCTGTCCCGCTTTAAAACCTGTCCGGCGAGTTTTTTTCCCCCCTAAAGGCAGAGAACTATAAGAAGACCTTCTCTATCCTCACTCTTTCTCTTTCGCTCTTTTGTCTCCGAGTCCCATCATTTTTCCGCACTCCTGTCCTGCGGTAAGAGAGTGGATACATGCAGCAGATTACGTTTTATTTTGAAATCAAAATAGAAATGTCAAGAGGAAACCTCGATTTAGTTCCGAAAAAACTCTTAAATGTATCAATCTCTATATAGAGAGAATTCAATAAATTTAGACAATAAAACATACATTTGATTGAGATTTTAATATATTTGAAATTGATAACCTAATCTAATTTTTATTTTTATCTGACAAAATCTAATTTAATCAGATCACTTTCTATCAAATAAAGATTTTTATCTGCACGCTACATGATTTTTGTTGAATAAGTGTAACATGAAAGCAGCAAAAATTTATTTTGTAATCTGTTTGTTAAGCAATATCTTGAATTTATCTCTGTTAATGATTTTTTACTTAAAATTCGTTCTATTTCTTTCTAATTCAAATCTTTCTATTTCAATAATACTAAAAATTTCATTAATTCACTTAATAGCTAATTACGCGGTTTCCTAAATCAGTTTAATATAATTTTAAGTTTTAAAATCTTATCAATAAATATATGAAATGTTATTTATCGATCTTTTTTATCAATATTTCGAAAGAAACGTACTTCATTTTGATCTGGGTAATCCTTGCTTTATAATTTAACTTTCGAACACAACCACCAAAATTTTTATTATATTATAATTAACACATTTTATCAATTTAAATTACACTTTGGCCCATTAATTCAATACGTTCTTCTCGTTTCACACACGCATTCTATAAACTTCACTTTTTGTAAATTTCAATGATTAACGTAGAACGCGAATTAGAATTCACTTTTCGGGATTAATAAAAAATAATTTCTGTCGTGAGATAAAATTTATTTTCGTCTAAAATAGCGTGTTTCGTCTCTTGTTATTAATATATCCGGAGCATGCGAGTTCAGAGGAACGCGTGCACGACAATGTACATCCGTCGCCTACGATCGACACAAGCATACTGAAGAACAGAATGAAGCACATACGTGTTTATCACCGCGATGCCTTCATCTTTTGTCAGTCGGCACGATACGCTGTAGATATGTATATATTTATCGCGGCGTTTAACTTAAATGAACTTGTATACATATGTTGATGACGTATTTTCATAGAAAACTAACGGGTGTAATAATAATATACACGGTATATGTGTTTTATTTGCCCTAACAAGTCTTTCTAGGGATTTATAAGGAAAAAAGTATGTTACAAAGTACTATTGAACTGCAAATGCAATAAAATGAAGCTTGAAGAAAGAACAAAAGATGAAGATGCAAAAAAGTATAAGAGAGAATATAAGCGAATGCGCAAGACGAACCGAGTGACGGCAAGGTGAGGAAATAAAGACAATGACGGCCGCAATTAAGAACTTCGCACTGACCACGTCTACAGGCCTCCAGTTACGCTTACTCTGCTCGAGTTAATAATAATAAACATGAAAAATGCAGATGCAACTGCGAGTTGTGATATAGCTACTCGCGTAATAATATTTTTGACATACTTAGATATATTGTTAGGGTTAAGCAGAGACTATTTGAGTCAGTTAAAGAAAAACAAATCAGATAAAAAAATTTTCAAAACAGGGAGGAGCTTTTCAATTTTCAGAATAAAGAGAGACTTTTTCTTTTGTCTTGAAAATTTTGTATCTGATTTTCTCTTAATAGATTTAATTTTAAATAACTTTTACTCTAAAGGTTATCCATATTAATTAACGCTTGTCAAAGCAAACAGAATTATGTGTCTCATTGAGTAATATTACCATAATTACATCATTTTTTTATATTTAATTATAAATGTATCTTTTCCTTTCTTCTTCTCTTCTTCATTTTGAATATAAAATATCTCAATTAGTTAATAAAGTTAATTTTGTCAAAAATTTATACTAAAAAATAGATTTATAGATCACCAAATGTGAAATCTTTTCTCTTTTTCTTCTTCGGTATTCAGTGACATCATAATAAAACTACACGGTGAAAGAATCTTTCCTGGAACATACATGGATGTCTGTCTTTTGTGTTCATTGTACTGAAAAATTAAATAATTCAGGCATGACATCACACGCAAGCGTCTGCACTTAAAACTTAGTAGTCGCGGCTTACCGCAGGGTAAATTAAGACGATAAAATACAAGCTTCTTAGAACTCTCTAATGCTACTCTCGTGAGCCAAACGTGACCGGTGCGTTTTGTTATTGTTGATTGTTGCAGCTATCAAACTGTCACATTTATATACTGCGCGTTAATCAATACAAGCGGATACTAGTAACGACGTTTGTGCAGATAAACCAATATTTGATTAAACAATATTTGAATAATTGAACATCTGGCCGAACTAATTTTTTCCAGTAGGCAAAAGAATGATAATTATCTTCACTGCAGACATCGCGACATTCGCGACATATTCGAGTACTTAATATCGGATAATATTAACTTGGAAATCCCATGACTAACCGGCGGTCATCTAATAAGCGTGCGGCAGTAACGAAACGTAATTGCATCTAATCGTCGTTATCATCTATATTTTCCCCACCACCGCAGTTATTTCTATAAATGTATACTGCGGACTCTTTGATACAATTTATACTGCATTTTTGATAAATTTAAGCTTTCTTTTAACAGAATAGCTATAGCCTCATATTTAACCCTAGACAGACTCACTGGGGTAATACGTTACCCCACGCGAAATTCAAATTCGCATCATTTCAGCCAAATTTTTGGTTCTTTGTTTTGTTTTTCGAAATTTTTTTACTGTTTTTTTTTTACTACCGCAAATTGGTGACACTATCGTCTTCCCTATTAAACAACAAACAAAATTATTTATTATAAAGTTTTCTAAGAACATTCTGAAAATATTATACACGCGGTACAAGTTTGGGTATTACGTTATAACGTAACAAGTACAAGTTATAACGTAACGTACGTACGTTATAACGTAACGTACAAGTTATAACGTATTACCCCAGTGAGTCATTCACGTATGAGAAAAATAAGTGAGTCTGTCTAGGGTTAACTATATCCCCGTTACCCGGGGAAAGAAAGATGGAAAAATCTTTTTGTTTCTCACTCATACGCTCTAATCCCACACAGCAAGCATATCAAAAAGACGTTCAGAAGATGTTCCGAAGATATCCGATATCTCCTAAATATATCTTCGAGATATTTTCTAGACTTTTTTTTCATATGTATGCTGTGTGGGATAACATGTGAAATATATTTTGAATAATTAAACAAGTAATTTAAGACGCCTCTTTTATCAATGTAACCATATTAAGGTGCAAAGAGACAGTACGAAAAAATAATATAAATCTTTTTATCAACATAAAATAATATTTTTTTTTATTCCACCATGCATGTTCGATGGATGATATAATAAATTGGTAAAATACACTAAAAACTTTATTTTCATTTTGTTGGTTTAATAAATAGTTATTTTCCCTGTGATAGTTTTTAGAATATGGGACACACATTAAATTTCTTACTGGAAAATAATGTGAACAAGAAAATTTGTGATATATTTCATCAATAAAATATTCTATCAATAAACGGAGCGTTACGTATATGATAATATTATTTCGACATATATTCTGAGAAAAGAATTCATTTCTTTGACGTCATAATTTGATATGGTTACTGAGGAAACAGGAGCCTTAATACGTGTTCGGAGCATCGCATGATGACTAATTAGTATTGCCATTGTAGAATTTTTTCTGACACGGTATTAATAACGGGACTTACGTGAGTGTTCGAGACTTTAAGTATAAAAACGTGATAAAATGCCTCCTTGCAGAAGCTATGATGGAGTTTACTATACGTGAGGAAGAAACAAATATACAATGTCTAGTTATACTATATTTATTTATTTGTTTATTTTTATTTATCTGTAATGATATTCAGTAGAATGTTCAACACTGAAAAATTGACAGTTTATCTAAATCCACCAAACAAAAGCGGAGCAAATATAAAAAATATGAGTCTAATAATACTGATTGATACAGAAAACGAAACAAATAAAAGATAACCCCATTTATAATTTCTATTTTTTGCTTTTCTTGGAGACGACAAATGACCAATATGGAAACTTGGTTCTGGGTGGGGCTCTTGTGATTATCGTTCGAATTCTCTTTGCCGTACCGATTACAATCGATCATCTTCGGAAAAGTAGTGAACGCATTCTCAGAAGGAAAAGAAAAATAGAGAGAAAGGAAAGATATGGGGGTGGAAGGAGAGAGAAAAAGAAGGACAGAAATCTGCGATGATACTGACGATTGCCAGGATTGTATTTTGACTTGTGATAATTACACTTGGCCAGTCAGGCGTTGAGCGGTTCGAATATGGAGATAATAGGTAACAAAAGATTGTCGTCAATTGACAAAAATTTCAACGTGTGAAATGTTGTAAACAATTAAAGCCTGTAATTTAAGACTTAAGATAAAGTTGCTGTTACTTTTATCTAACATGTATAAGCTCCATTGTTGCAGAAACGGTTTAAGATCTCTTTCATCTGAAATCTTTTAACTCTTTGAAACAGCCTGTTATGACTTGAGATATATATGGAATGAGGGTCGCGATATCGAATCCGGTACCTGCCGACTACAAATCGACCACTTAAGAAACAGAATCACGCGTGATCCGTGCTTATAAAATTCCCATTTTCTATAATTTCAAAACTCATGCCTTAATCGATATGACAAACCAATAAAATCGATGTTTAATATAATTTTTTGCAATATTCTTTGAGTTACATATCGTAGAAACGGAAAGAAAAAAGGTAAGAATGTTGTTTTCTTTTTTAAATTTATTTTATGATATTCTGTGATAGGAATTTCGGGGCAAATTCGCAGATAAGAATAGGAGATAATTCGATATTTTCTCTCTCGTTTAGTATTTTTAGGTCAGGTATATTGTAAACACAATATTTTGGATAGATCTGTCCATCTGTCCATCTTCAGAATATATATAATAATATATAATTATACATACAATATAAAATAGTAAAATAGTATTATATACATGTATTGTTGTATATAAATTGTGTATATATGTATAATTTATGTATATATATGTATATTGTTATTTAAATTATAATGACAAGATGACAAACCAATAATTGTGTTTGATTTAAGTATATACACTCAATTATTTTGTGTTTGATTTATTGTATTTTTGATATATTGTGTTTGATTTAAGTATATTATTTTTTTTTAAGAATAAAGTAAATAGATTTTAGATAAAAATTATTTTGTTTAAGAAGGTCTGTATAATGATTCAAACAACAGTGTGAAATTATCTTTTTTAAATGTTTCTAATGACAGTTTTATTTTTCTAAATTGAATAATACGTATATCAACAAAAATTACGCTATTATTAAATTTATCATAAAATACCTTACAAATTTAAACTGCAATAAAATAAATACATTACCCTATTAAAAAGAGAACAGATTTTACAGTTATGAAAGATATTTAAAAAATTAATTTTTAAACTTTTATTATATAAATTTTCTGACAAAAAACTATTTTCAAAAATTTTTTTTATAATTTTATTATTTAAAAAAATAATTTAGTGTTACACGTTACACATATAAAATTATACATATATATCTTTTTATATTATTATAAAAAACATAAATTATATATATTATTCATAAAAGTGATCAGTATATATATCTCACGAAATTAGCGAGTATTGGTAAGCTTGAGGTGATAATGTTTCATTGACTATAGTGTGGCGTTGTCATCGCATCGCTAAGATAACGGAAGATCGGAAGATTTATCAGTGTTGGAAGATTGTGGGAGAAATCTCACAACAGTCCGTGCAATGGCGCGCTTGCGTGAAGACGTCATTGACCACGTGATCGAGCACACAGACTCGTGCTCTGATGCTGCTCAGAGAGTGCTTCTTGATCGTATAAATTATTTATGTATTATTTAATACCATTTGTACATATTAAATATTATATTAAGCATAGGTATATATATGTATGTTTAGCTAACTTTATATATTAGTATTGTGTGTAATTTTATATACATTAATTTTTACACATAATGTGCCCTGCAAATTATTATCTGCAAATTATTATCTGCAAACTATTTATTGAATTAATATTTAAAATTACAAAATATGTATAATTTATATAGTCTATAATAATTTATATTATTTATTTAAACATTAGGAAAATTTTCCGTGTACTTTCTCTAATCCTTGCGTTAAATGTGTATAGTTCTTGTGATAAGCCAGTTAAACGCAACGAACTAATAAATTTGATCGTTTCTCTATCCATAAATTGTGATATATATACTCCATAAAAGAGATTTCCTACCGTTAAAATTATAATTTTTATATCTTTTCGATGAAAGGTCTGACGATACTCCTTATTAAAATAAAATATGTACGCGACTGAAATTTCAATAGCGTCTGCTAGCGGTTGTTTTACCACGCATGCGTGAGCGTCACCCAACTTTGCGAGGGACACAAGTAAACAAAAGATCTGGCGCGTCTCTCATTCGGGCGGGTCGGCTCCGAGGGATCTGATACCTGCTGATCGATGATCCACAAAATAAAGCTGGAATGTCCTTCAGGTAAGTACACATGTCACTTGCATTTGTTTTAATCATTGAGGTTCTTAAGTTCTCGGTTTAATTTGTTCTAATTGTTAAAGTTTCTCAAGTTCTCGAGTTAAACCATTAAATTATGCTTCCTGTTTTTCTAACTCTCAAGATTTGCATAGGAATTTTTTGCATAATTAACGGACTGAATAAATAAAAAATCTCGACTCTTTCGAAGAAATAATTTTCATATCGTGACAAATAATAGTTCCTCTTTCATAATTTGTTAAATTAAAAAAAATTTCACGTGTATTTTTAGTTAAAAAAACACAAATTGTCAATAACTTGAACATTTTCTAGGGAATGGTAATGATTAAACAACAATTATTTTTTAATAAAACTGGTGTGAGATTTAGTAAAAAAATTATTATTCTCTTTTCATACAGTCATATAATACTTATTATTAATTGTTAAGTATATAATTATTAAGTCGTGAACATGAAACACGTGGTGTTACACATAGGGAATATTTCAGAATTTGTAGAAATTATTTCGATGCCTGAACTTATCAAAATATATATTTTTTTAAATAAATTGTATACGTATTTTAGTAACGTATACAAGAGACGGGTAAACTGTCTCTAATTATGGTCTAATCTTGACATATAATGAGATGTAGTTGTTTATGGCGGGAATATAGCGGGGGAAGCGTGTCACAGCTCTCTGCGAGCAACGCGTTCCTCATGGTGTCGCTTGCTACCGAGCTGAGCGTCCCAAGCGAGTTCTGATAACAGTCCCTCACACCCTTGAACATCCGAGCTACCTGTTCGCGACATCGAGTTGCAGCTGTGTTTCCGAGTAGCATAATCATGTCCGTGCGTCGCTTATCAATGAACGTCGTAAACTCAGCCGGTAGAGTTTCGTAGAGTAAGATCTACACGTGGCGTTAGGGTCAGGAAAAATAATCTGCGATCGCGTCTTATAGCGGATCTGATGATTAAATACAATTCAACACCAATCACAATTCACACACCTCTGTTGTATCTCATTTTACTATATGTCAATTTAATATATTTTCGTTAACATTTCATTAACATAATATTTTTGAAATTTTAATATTACATATTTTTGAAACTAAGATTAAATTAATATTTTATTTAAATACTCTTAAAATTAACCGAGGGATATATTATTATTTATTTTTTCCTCTGAGACTCAATTATTAAGAAATTTTATATGTTCTTAATTAATTTTATAATTCCGAAATTATAGAACGTAAAAAAGGCTTTCTGGAATTAAATAACAACAAAAAGCAATTAAAATCTGAATACGAGTATAGATACGTTCTTACAAGAACGTGTACTGCGATAGAACAAAATATCACATGTTTTTGCATTTATTTGAATTTCCTCCTATTTCGATTTTTTCCTTTTCTTTAAAAGATCTTTGGTTCTATTGAAATAAATAACAGATTTTCTTTCCGAGGTACTACACTAAATATAAAGCAATAGCAGTATACCTGCGAAATGACAAACAGAAGTGTCCTAGAATGTCTCAAAGTGAAAAATTGTTTTTTTTTCCTCGAAAAGAAAAAGGAAAACTAGGGTTCGTTTCTGATTAGGCATATTCTTAGAAGCTTTTCTTTGGGCTTAGTCTTTATTTAGAAAAGCAGGTATAGGCATCAATACAAGTATGTGTTTAATAAACGTACGACAAATTATTTATTAATTATTGAATAATAATAGTAGTGTCGAATGCTTTAATAGTGCTCGACGGTAAGATTTATCTAATACTTAAAAATTATATTTTTTCCTTAACATAATTAATTGAGGTTTAATTAGTTTAACTACTCTATTCTCCCAAAGAATAAAAAAAGAATGATTGGTCATAAAACATTCTTCCGCATCTGCGAATATATATCATGCAGCATTACTCTTCAAGAGAAGAAGAGAAGATAAATATAATTGGTTTATAAAATTTTAAAATAAATTCCATCCGCATTGCAGATAAACGCAAACCCCAAACGCATCAGCCTTTTAGTCAACAAAATTTATCACTATTTCAATCCGTTTTTAATAGATTTGGCTGTCTAATATCGCCTTGCATTATAAATATTAAAAATATTAAAAATAATTATATTATATTATATATAATTACATTATAATCTATACAATGCCGTATATGTATATAGTTCATGTCATTTCTTCTAAGAATTTTTTTATACGCGTAAGAAATTAGAATTATATTGAAAGATAAGAAATTAATTAGTCGTCGATTAATTGTTAGCATAACTTTGCATTTGAATATATTTCAGACCCGTCTTAATGTAATTCCTGAGTAATCGATAAGGAGATTTCTGCATGATTTAAAAGGGATTAGACGATTGAGGGAAAGATGACATTAATAAACGTCTCCCCGTCAGTAAACAATGCAGAAAAGATTAACACGGATCCTAAAAATTTGAACCTGAATATCAACGTGAAGGTTCCCGAACTTTTCTCCAAGCTTTTCTACGTTTCAATTATCACATCATTTGTTTTATTGATGGGCGTATCAGCGATAATATCGCTACAACTGCAAGAGTTACGAATGCAGGTGAGAAACATTTATTTCAGTAATAAGAGACGCTTTCGGATGTTCCTTGCGTCGAAAATTGTCAGCCTTTCATCTCTTTGTCTCTATAGATATATGCTTCTGTGTCACCTACAACATGTTTACTACGTAAATGAAACGCGTCTGAAACCTAACGATTCTGAATAAGCACGATAGTGCGATATTGTGACATGCTCTGAGAATTAATCATCCACTCCTTTTATCGTGCGAAATGTGCATACGACGAATATTACGTGTACGAATTATTTTGCAGCCTGCTCTACTTAGCGATCGCGTTAGTGCGCATAATCATGTATCAGATAACAAATCGTGGACGTAAAAAAGTATTTAACGTCATCTTTATATGTAATTTCCAACTTTTATCCTTTTCTTTCGAAAGCGCATATATATTCTTAAAAAATGATGGCTTTCCTGAAAGAAAATCTTATACCACATAAGATTTTTAAGAATTTTTTATATTTTAAATTGACAAAGATTAAAAAGAAATAGCTTAACCCTCGTAGGCCACGCTTATTTTTTGCCCACGTGTAAGTTACACTTACATCTGGAGAACATTTTTTACTTTTAACTTTCGAAACAATTAACGTATTGTTTTTTTTATTTCAATCGTTCGTAAATTTTCTGAGAATTATGGTGGCAATCTCAGAATTTGTAAAAAAAAAAAATTATTACCAAAAAATACACGATTAAAAAATATAAATGATAGTTCTAAACGTAGTTCCAAATTTCGTTGGGATCTCTGAGACTTTGTTTCAGTGTAGCTTTCGAGGGTTAAACATCTTCAAATTTTATAAGTCTTTTTCGGAAATTATAGAACGGGAAATCTTAGAAATTTCAGAATTTACATATATAAAGAATTCTAGTAAAGATATAGACTTTCTCAGTATTTCTGAAAAGTAAAGTTCTAATATGTACAGAATCTGAAAAATATTTTAATTTATTTGAAAAATTGTGTGAAGAAGTTTAAAAAAATTTTTTTACTAGTGTTAATGCAGTAATTTTTAATGTCTCTTTAATAGTTTAATATATTGTCCAGTGAGTTTTATACGTTTGCAGTAGAATTTTTATTATCATGAGAAAGCGTAAAACATTCAGTATTTAACACAATATTTTTATTTCTTTCATATTTTAGGTGGAATCCCTCATGTTGATGTGTCAAGACAAAGGGAATCAAAATAATCGTGTTGAAGAGTTAAATCGATTCCAGCGAGCAACAGATTATAACGATTCTGTTAACCTTTTTACCTTCGAGCACTCCAATCATCAAATAAAAGTAAGAGATGATGGACGTACCGACACTGTTACGTTAATGCCTTACAATCAGACAGTTTCGGATCAATCGATATCTCATGAAAATAATGCAATTGAAAGAAATGTCAGTAGATCAACATATTATAAAAAGAATACAATTAAAAGAAATGCGAGTAATCTTTCAAAGAGATCAAAGAGATTGATAAGTAAATTGATAAAGATGTTGTTCTTGGATTTCAACAACAAGCGAAATTTCCCGCGTTTTGAAATGAAAAATTATGTAACGACGGAGGGTGAAATAAGCAGCGATCACGAATTGAACCGTGACGTATGGGATGAACCGCATATGATAAGATTGCGAAGAATGGTAAGAGATACTGAAAAACGACAGAGCGAGGAAAAGAATGAAACACGGCGCAGGGAGGAAAGCGAAAAGCAACGTCAGAGCGTGGAGGAAGGTGAAAAACGACAAAGCGAGGAAAAAAATAGAACACGGCGACGGAGTGAGAAAAAAGGTGAAAAACGACGACAGAACAGAAGAGGGCACAAACACAATCACAGATCGAGTATATTTTCTTTATCAATATTAATTTTAATATTTTCCATTCGCGATCGAACGAACAAACTGAATTATGAATTACTGTTGTGCCGGTTAATCGATTTTGCTTAATCGACTAACGCTGAGTTAACTCAATGCAATTTATCTGAAAACGAAAGGAACTACCGCCGAGAAATAATTTCAATTTATCTTACAGAACCATTACTACCATTAGTAGCTACGTTCAAAGGTGGAATGGACACACTAGATTTTAATCTAACACGTACTCCTACAGGTAAACAAAATGTTAAAGCAGTATGAAAGCATTGATAGCAGATTCAAAGAGAATATTACGACAAATTGCAATGGTGCCAATCGCCTACGTTAAACTTGTATTCTTCCGGCAATCTGCTGATCTAATCTGACGGCAGATTGCCAGCAGATCGTCGGCAGAATCGAGCATAATCTGTCGTTTTGTAACCATTTAAACGGAATGTATTCTTTAAATTGTTACGTTAGTCTACTATTATATTCCACTGACAAATTCTGTTACGTTTCTATTGGCATTTTGCCGACGAATTTTGTAATAAAAATTCTGGAAATAGATCTGTTTTGTCTGGGTTAGTATAGTTCTTATTAAAGAACAAAATCTCATGATTCTAGTGTTTTTCGAGCTCATATCAATATCAAAAATATAGACTAACTGATTTGGACCTTTTAGTCTCACTAAGTTTCTGTCAAATTGAAACAGTAAACTCACCATGTTAAGGGAGAATATATATTTTTGATATTAATATTATACCACTGAGGATGGCTCGGACAGGAGAAACGTTTGGAATTTTGTAATTCGAGGAATAAATCATATTTATATCTGAACGCACCGTGATCCGCGTTGTGACCCTTACAGCCCTTTCTACTTATATTTTTATTTCGAGGGTCTTTATATCACACTTATTGAACTATTTCTTATATATGTGTGAATAAATACGAGATATTCGTGTTGCACATTGCATCTTAAAAATAAAAAATTATTTCTCTTTTTTTTAGGTAGCTATAATATCGGGCCTTGGGTTAAAAGCGAACATGACAACCATCAATATGAGTTCACAAAGTTTCATTTGGTGGAGGGTAATATGGCGATCGAAGTTGCCATAAATGGTTTATATATGATCTCTGTACAGGTAAAGACCTATTTATTGAATTATAATATTGGGAAGATATTATAAGAGTATTAGCCATATATGTCCTTGTATAATATATCAAAGTTTATGCCAAGAGAGGGCAGTGGGCACGATGTGTCTCTTTTCATTCTCAATGCATAGTAAACGCTTTATACATTTCTCATCAAAATTTCGTTACTTATAAGCTTAGATTATATGCATAGCTTTATACAGATTTATATGGATAAATTGCATGCTCCTGTTAAGACAGTATAAAAAAGAATACAATAATGAATTAGATGCTTTCCTTATCGGTCTGTGTAGTTGCTGGACAGAAAGAGAAGAGTAGTTTATACAAAAAGTTACTTTTTTGCTTTTAAAGAAATGTGGATTTCTTTTTCTCTCTCATTCTCATATTTTCCTTACATCGTCCTTATCCAGTATATTGTGTGAGAAAATATCTGATCAGATATATATGTCGTTCAATGTTGCCTATGAACACGCAGTCTACTTATATACATCTATGCTTATCTATGCTATATGTAATACTATATTTGTAGAACAATAATTCCATAGACTCTTATATAATATCTGTGCAAAAGTTCAAATAATTTTTTTCCTTGGAATTGTACTGAGAAAGAGACATATCGTCATTTGAAAGCTCCCTATTGACTGTGTGTGTGTGTGTGTGTGTGTGTGTGTGTGTGTGTGTGTGTGTGT